GAGCCCCCATCCTGCTCCCTGCAGGACAGCGCCCCCTAGTGCTGCACTGGGGTATTGGGGGCAGCACTGACAGCCCCATCCCAATTTCCAGTGGTGTCCCGGCCCAGCCCGGCCCCAACCCCTCCTGCTTAGCATGTTTCTAGTTTTAGCCCAGGCACCCCTCCCCCACTCCGTTTGGTGACATGGGGTGTGTGTGTATCTTTGATCTTATCTGTTCCCGAATTGGTTCCCATGGGAATTAATCCCCCGCTAATCACAATTAACTGAAGTCTATTAACGAGCTGGGGGAGAGGGGTCACGAGGCCAGTCCGGGGGAATTGAGGGTGAGGATCAGGGCCATAACAGCGTTATGGATGCTCACTGGAGGTAGTGAGGGATGGGAGAAGGGCCAGAGGAGAGGTAGAGAGGCAAGTGGAAGGCCAGGGCCAGGCTGAGAGAGGAAACACCAGCATGGAAAAGAAGGGAATGTGAGAGGGGAGATGAAAGATTGCATGGGAAAGACAGGAACCTGGAAATCCAGGAGGGGAGTGACAGCGGCATGGGAGGAAAAGAGGGAGCAAGGCCGTGGGGGAGGGGAGGAGAGGAAAGTCCTGATAGAGAAGAACAGAAGGAGAAAACTGGGGAGCGGAGGAGAGAGAAGCAGAGGAGGGGAAGAGAGGGAATGTGAGACTAATGGGGGTGGAGGGGCAAAGAAAAGAGAAGGAGGAAATCAGGGAGGGAGGCAGAGAAAGGAAGAGGGGAATGAGACAGGAGGAAAAGAGGAATGAAGGACAGAACAAGCAGGATCCAAGAAAAGAACAGAAGGAGAAAATCTGTGAGAGGAAGGAACAGGGGAAACAGAAGAAAGGAGAGAGGAAATGGGGGTGAGGAGTGGATGAAGGGGAAGGGTCCAAGAAAGAACAGAATGAGAGAATGGAAGCGGGGGGAACATGTCAGAGTCCTACAGAGACTGAAAAGATAGAAGAGGTGGAGGAGGAGGAGGAGAAATGAAGGGAAAGGGAGGGGAGAGACTGGGCGATGGAACGAAAAAGACAGTCAGTGAGAGAAAGAGAGGAGGAAGAAGGGAGTGAGAAAAAGGAGAAATGAAATATGTCTCTCTGCATCTTTCTGCGGCTCCTCCCTTGTGACTCTCACATCCCTCCCTTTCCCTCCCCACTCTCTGGCTTCATCTCTCCTCCTCAGTCTCTCTCACACTCCCCCATTCTCTCTCCTTGCCCCCCCCACACCCAGCTGCCGGGCCCCACCCGCCCGTCCCCCCAGCTCTGGAATGTGCCTGAGTCACTCGCTCCGCTGCCTGGCTCCTAAATAAGGAGCGAACAGGCCTGGTTCGGCCAGGAGGGGGAGGGGAGGCCGGGAATCCAGCTGCCGTCCAACTCCGCACAGCTGCGCCGGGAGCCTCCCAACTCCGCTCCGGTGTCTGGCACCACCTCCATCAGGGTGTCTGCCCCTCCCGCCTGTCCCCAGAGCCCTGAAGGGGGGAGCAGAAACCGAACCCCACCCCAAGGCCCTGAGCTATGACCCTCCAGAAATGGCCTTAAATCTCCAAACTTGGCTCACGACCTTCTGGACTGGGCCCACGGCTCTCCAGAAAAGGCCATGAACCTCCAGATATGACCCAAGACCCTTTAGACATGGCCCACGTCCCTCCAGACTGGATCCCACAGCCCTCCAGAAAGAGCCATGATCCTCCAGACTGGGTCCACGGCCCTCCAGAAATGGCCATGAATCTCCAGATACGACCTAAGACCCTCTAGACTTGACCCACATCCCTCCAGACTGGATCCCACAGCCTTCCAGAAATGGCCATCTATCTCCTGCCTGGGCCAACAACCTTCCAGAAAGAGCCATGAATCTCCAGACACAGCCCAAGGCCCTTTAGACATGGCCCACATCCCTCCAGACTGGATCCCACAGCCCTCCAGCAATCGCCCTCTCTCTCCTGATGTACCCATGACCCTCCAGAAATGGCCCTGAATATCCAGATATGGCCCACTGACCCTCCATGCCACCATCGCTCTAGATCCATCGGCATCTCCAATGCTTTCTCCAGATCACTTGCCTGGAGGAACCTTCACCCCTGGCTGCCCTTCCCCCCATATCCAGACTCCCTGTTGCTTTCCTCACAGCCCTTTCTGCCCGAGAGCTGAGGAAGGATAGAGGGATAGGCTGGACTCTTGGTGGCCCCTTTGAGCTGTAGTTTGAAGCCCAGGGCACTATCTCACAGGCTCTCCTGAGCTCCAGGTCCCGTGGAGTGCTGTGTCAGAGAAGGTCCGGTGCCCCTTCCCTGACCAGACCCCTCAATGTCTCTGTGAAGCACAGACCACAGCCCAGAGACTGCTGTGCCAGAGAGAGATTGTCTGGCCTGCTGGGGAGAATAGATGGCAAAACACACCATCTAGATGTCTGACCACACTATCTATATCCAAGCGTCCCTCTATTCATCCATAGTTCTGTCTATCCATCCATCATTAGCTCTACCCATCTATCCATTGTCAGATCATCGCCGGCTTTATCCATCCATCCATGAGAAGCTCTTTCTATCTCTCCATCCTCAGCTGCATCTACATTTCCATCCCTCCATTATCAGATCTACCTATATGTCTCTGTCTACCCTCAGCTCTAGCTATCCATCCGTCATCGGATCTAGCCTCAGCTCTATCCATCCATTCACAGCGGTACCCTTCCATCCCTCCATCATCAGAGCTATCTGTCCATCCATCCTCAGCTCCACACATCAATCTATCCATCGACACATCTATCTAAATATCTGTCCTCAACTCCATCCATCCACCCACCCATCATCTATCTATCCATCCATCCTCAGCTCTATCTATCTATCTATCTATCTATCTATCTATCTATCTATCTATCTATCCTCAGCTCCACCCATCCACTCGTCTATCCATTGTCATATCTCTCTCTATCTCCCTATCCTCGGCTCAATCCACCATCACGAGATCTATCTATAGATCTCTCTATCTACCCATCCTCAGCTGTACCCGAGACACAGAGAAATGAAGGGCAACTAGCCGAGGGCAACCCGCCAGGCCAGTGGCCAAGCCAGGAATAGAAACCAGGGTACCTGAGTCCCACTCCAGGGCTCTATCCACTAGGAACAGAACTGCCCCCCTCCCGCCCCGGCCAGAGCCCCAGTCCAGCCTGCATCCCTTTCCCTCTCAGAGACTTGAAGTAAAAGAAGGGATAAGCAACCCCAGCCTGTCTTAGGTGGCGCTGGAGTGGTCCTGGGCAGGGATCCCTGACTGGATTCCCAGCCCTTGTTATTCCCAAGTGGGTGAGCCATATTTACCCCTTCATCATCCGTTCCAACCACCCCCCACCAT